GTGAGACTTCCGGAGTTTTGGGTGGTAGAGAGGCAGGAGCATCTTGAACCTTCTGAAGGGGAGAGTGTTGCTGTGCGGACTGCAGTACGCAGGCTCAGGCCCTTGGACACGGTCTTAGCCAGGAAGGGCGTTCTTGGACAGCCCAGACCCATCTGCCCTGAAGAGCCCCAACCTGCCCCGACACACCTGGACACTGGCAGAATAGACCACAGACAGCAGAAGGAGCTCTCATACACTCGATGCCAAGCCCACGTCCTGGTGGACGTCAGCAGGGACAAACTGGCTGGGAGAAGGGCAAGACTGGAGTGAGGGGAGGCCAGGGAAGCTCCAAGGCAGGACAGCCACATTTCCATGTATCTCCTTGCCAATAAACTTTCTTGTCTGCTTGGACTCTGCTTGTGTGCGCGTGCAGGGTGAGGGGTGGAAAAGATGTCAAAGCCTCACCGCAGGTGAAGCCCTATGTAACCTTGTGAGGGTCTCTTACCCTCTTTGAGCCCATCCAATGAAGAAGTTGGGATAGCCTGCCGCTATCTAGCTGTGACATCGGGGTGATAGAACCACCACCAGGTTTGTCAGCTGATGCCCCCCGCCCTCCCCAGATCTGAGTTCTGGCTGCCCGCAGGCTCCACCTACACCACAATGTCGAGCGCGGCCCCTAAAAGGAAAAACACTTGGCGCCACAGGGTGGGCTGGGGTAGGGGTGGAGGTGGGGTTCGGTGAGCGCCGTTGCTATGGCGACAGGTAACCAGGAGGAAGGTGGCCGTCTGTCCAGTACAGGCACAGAAGTCCTTGGCACTGATGCTCTGCCTACTGGGAAACCCCGCCTTCCGAAGCCTTTTTTTTATTTGTCGGGAAGCCGGTCATTTGACCGCATAGTCCAAACGGAGGGTGGGGCGCCTGGGTGGCTCAATCGGTTAAGCGTCCGACTTCGGCTCAGGTCATGATCTCAGGGTTCGTGGGTTCGAGGTTCGCGTCGGGCTCTGTGCTGACAGCTAGCTCAGAGCCTGGAGCCTACTTCAGATTCTGTGTCTCCCCCTGTCTCTGACCCTCCGCTGCTCATGCTGTCTCTCTCTCTCAGAAATAAATAAAACATTAAAATAGTAATAATAACAAAGGGAGGGCAAAGGGGGTGCCTCTTTATCCCCTGTAAAAAAACAACCGTATTTTTCTCAGCGACCCATGCGTCATTAGGAGCAGGACTACAATTCCTAGCTTTTTCCGAGGAGGGCGCCAATGGGGAGGAAAAGTGGAACTGACCTGATTGGCCAGGGACAAAGAACCCGAGGGCAGTTAACCCATCTGAGAAATGAAGTACAAGATTGCTTTGCAACTTCGCGGGTTGGGCGGCTCCGCTATTCTGCTTGGGGGAACGGTGCCCCGAATAGAAGCTCTCGCGAGATCATATCCATCCGCCAGGCTTCCCTAGAAACCAATTAAAGCTTGCTAGAGCGCCCTTCCTCCCACTCTTCCCACCTCTGCCAAGTCGTTAAATACAGTCTTGAAACCCCAGAATGTTGCATTCAGGCCTGGGGTTCTTGGAGACTTCGGTCCTTAGTGCACACACACCCAAAGGTCTGAATGAAGGCCTTTGGGGGCTTTCGGAAGATCGCCCCTGCTGGTTTTGTGTTTCCCCTCCCAACCAGTCGACCTCCAAGCCGGCCTGCAGTGAACTTTGTAAAATTATATCTGTGTCGCTCCCCTATTAAAATCCCTGCCGTATTTCCACATTTCTCCTCTGTAAAACGTAACTCCCTGGCATTCAAGGTCTTCCATTTGTGTGGTTTCAGCCCTGTGCCTCTCAAATATTACTTGTTTTTTTAAAATATTTTTAAAATGTTTTATTTATTTCTGAGAGAGAGAGAGAGAGGGAGATACAGAATCTGAAGCAGGCTCCAAGCTCTGAGCTAGCTGTTAGCACAGAGCCGGGCGCGGGGCTTGAACCCACGAACTGTGAGATCATGACCTGAGCTGAAGTTGGACGCTTAACCGACTAAGCCACCCAGGCGCCCCTCAAATATTACTTGGAATGCTCATCCCCACCCCCACTCCCTCTCACTTGTTAACCTCTCCAAGTCAGAACACTTCAAGCATCACTTTCCCCCACAAGCCTTCCCTGAACCTCCGGCCTGGGTTAGAATCTACTTATTCTCAATACTTAACACATCGAGAACTTCTTGAGGACAATTAGTCACTCAACAGTATTACCTACTGTGTGCTGAGTATGGGGGATGGGAGGATAAAAAAGACAAAGTCTCTGCTCTCAGTTTCATTGCAGAAGATGGGCGTTGGACAAATAATTGCAAGTGTAGTAAGGACTATGCAGGAAACATACGTACAGAAGAGAATCCTACCCGATTCAAAGGCCTCTCCAAAGAAGTGGCAACTATGTTATGACCTGGAGAAGGACTGACCTGGAGTAAGCTAAGAAAATGAGTGGGGATGGGATAGGAGGTGGAGTCTTCTAGGCAGAAAGAAGAGTATGCACCAAGTCCTTGGGCGCTCAGGAATGGAAGCAAAGTTCTAGTGAGTCTGAAGGCAAACAGTGAAATACAGAGTGGGGAGGCGTGAGATGAAGACTTTTCCACATTCAACTTTCTACCTCCCAATCCTAACAGCAGCCTGGTGCACAACAGGCCTCACTAAATACTTCGGTACAGTGTCCTTGGAACACGATGGGCTCTTCACAAGAGTTTACAATCCCATAAACTGCTACTTCCTTGTCAATATGGCAAACTCCCACTCATCTCTGAAGGTCCTTCACATTTACGTCTTCAGCGAGGGCTGCACCCAATAATCCAAGGGGGGTTATTCAGTGATCCACCCATTTTACTATGCTGCTAAAACACTTAAACACCTATTGTTTTCCCTTTCATATGTGTATATTTATATTCGTTCATATATATCTCACAATCTCTTTTTACTAGACTATGAGATTCTCAAGAACAGAAACTAGATCTGAGTTCAGGTATATGTTCGTACATATTTGTAGAGCAAATGGACAGAAGTCTTCTCCTTTTTGCAAGCATCTATTCCAAAGCCTTCCCACAGCAGGAGACCCTTCCGGTGGTGACTTCCACTGTTCCCGGCAGAGTCTCCCCACTGACTGAATCAGGGCAAACAGGACTTGCCTTTTGCTAGAAGTGGGGTGTCAGCCATAACCTCCCTACCTCTTCTCCATCACCCATGTTAAATTTACCCTTGCTAACTCACTTGGCTCCAGTCACATGAACCTTCTTTCTTCCTCAAATATGCCAAGCTTATGCTCACCTTAGACCTCTGCAGTTCTGTCTAGAACACTTTTCCTCTGGATTTTCTTTTTTTTTTTTTTTTAATATTTTTATTTATTTCTAGGAGAGAGAGAGAGACAGCGTGAGCAGGGGAGAGTCAGAGAGAGAGGGAGTCACAGACTGAAACAGGCTCCAGGCTCTGAGCTGGCAGTCAGCACAGAGCCTGACGCGGGGCTCGAACCCACAAACCGCGAGATCATGACCCAAGCGAAAGTCAGACGCTTAACCGACTAAGCCACCCAGGCGCCTCCTTCCTCTGGATTTTCAAATGGCTAATCTTTTCTCCTCATTCAAGATTCATCTCAAGTATTATTTCCTCAGAGATGCTTCCCCTATCCACATGAAAGAAACCCCCAACCACAGCGACTCTCTATGGATCACCTTGCCCTATTTACTTCATTAACTGAAATTCTCTTGTTGACTTACTTGTTTACATTTTTTGTACTCTTACAAATTCCCTAGCAGCCAAGATTTTTGTCCGTTTTGTTCACTACTGCACCTCCAATACCCAGAATGGTGCCAGGCACGTAGTAGACCCCAAGAAATACTTGGTAAGAGAATGACCACAGCCAAAGTGGGTCTTGGTGATCTTGAGTGTGAGTATCCAGGCATTTGCCCCCTTTCCCTTGCTCTGAGGAAGAGCAAAAGCTTGACCAGATGTAATCCCAGCATCCAAATTATGCCCTGGCCTCTGAAGACTGAGACTCAGGTTTGAGTCCTACCTCTGCCACCAGTTTCCTCATGTAACTTCATTTCTGAAAGTAAATTTGGTGCAGGAGAAAGGACAGAGAGCTTTGGAATCTGCTACTTACCAGCTCTGTGACTTTGAGCAAATTATTTAAGCTCTCTAAGCTTTGGTTCCTTCGTTTGTCAGAGGGAGACATTATTATTGATTCCCACTGGGCTGTTATAAAGAGACAAAGATTAGAAGCAATTACTGAATGTTATTTTTTTCTTTCCTTTCTGAATCTTAGTTCCCCCATTCATAAAAGGGGGGAAATAAGTATCTTTTTCAGGAGAAGTGGGAAATACAGCTCTTTCTACGAAGTATCTTAGTTTTTAAAAATTTTATTAGTTTTTTTAAGTAGGCTTCACACCCAGCAGAGAGCTTGAACTCAAGATCATGAGAAGCTGAGATCAAGCGTCGGAGGCCTAACCAACAGCCACCCGTGGCCCCATAAAACATCTGAATTCTTAAATGTAGCAAATTAAAATGTGTAAAAGCTCTCTATTTTTTTAAAACTAATAATAAAAAAAAAAAGTAAAAACACCCTGAGGGTCAGACAAGATACTTCTGTGGACTGGGTTTGACCCGTGGGACTACTAATTTCCCACTTAGGCTATTAGTAGTCAGGGATGCTATGAGAACTCTTACTGTATAACTTAGGCAAATCAGTTTTGTCTCTCTCAAGTCCAGTTAGCTGATCTGTAAAATGGACCCACCTTTGTGTGGATCAAAGATCATGTGTGTAAAACACTTAGCATAATGCTGGCGCATAGTAGGCACGCCGCACCCCAAGTGGCAGCGGTTGCTTTGGTGGCTGTTGGTTTGGGAAGTACATACTCAAGGGGCAAGATATCCCAGATACCAGGAGACTCGTAAGGCGACTCTGGGAAAGGAGAAAAAATAGGAGAGAAGGAAAAAAGAGGGAAGGGAAGAGGTGAGCAGGCAACCGGGTCCGCCCTCCAGGCGGGGCGCCAGCGAGAGGCCCAGGCCGGGGCGGGAGCGCACGTGGCCTATTTTGGGCGGAGCAGACGCGCTTGGCCGCAGCGGAGACCTCCGAGGCGGCCACAGGAGACGATCCTTGAAGGTAGGTAACAACTGGACTGCGAAGACCTTGGACGCTGGGATGGGGCGGCCAGGGGTTCCTGCGAGTTGGGGTACAGCGGGGGGCACCACATCTGGGCTCGCCATCCTCCCGGGGCAGTTCTGGCCGGACGCCTGGGTCCTCTGGGCCCCTCCTCCTCGAGGGAGGGGTTAGGTGACCTGACCAATGACTGGCCGTCTGCGAGGCCCCGCCCCACCCCGCCCCCGGAGCCGCGGCCTCGCAGAGTGCCCAACCGCCCGGCGCCCTGGCCAGGGGCTGCGCGAGCGCCGAATCTGCGGCTGGTGAGTGCGCACCCCCCGAGGGTCTCCGCCCCGATCCCGCCCCCAGACCATGCCCTAAAGCTCAGGGCCTCTGGCCCAGGCGCCGGGGAGTGACTCAGCGTGGGGAGGGTGGCGACTTGCTGGGGCTGGAGATTTAAACTGTACAGGGCCTTGAATGCCAGGATGAGTGGGGAGAACGAGTGCCTTCGGAGCTGGTCCTGGAGCGTGGGGCTGGGCTGGGGTGGAGGGAAGAGAGTAGACCCAGAGACCAGGGCAGGGTGGGAGAAGCCAAGGCTTCACCGCCTTGCTGGGGTCAGGGCCCTGGCGCGGGGTGGGGGTGGGTGGGAGTGGGTGCACGTCCTGAGCTTTTGACCCAGCTCCTCGCCCCAGAACACCAAGATGCCTGGTGAACAGCAGACAGAGGAGGAGGAGGAGGAAGAGATGCAAGAGGAGATGGTGCTGCTGGTGAAGGGTGAGGAAGATGAGGGTGAGGAGAAATATGAGGTGGTGAAACTCAAGATCCCCATGGACAACAAGGAGGTACGTGTCCCACACCAGGGGGCCTGGTTGCTTTTATGTCTGGGCAGGTCCAGCCACCCTCAGACAAACCATCAATCCAACCTCAACTTTTCTCTGCATCTTAGACCTAGAATCTGAAGTTGGTGGCCCATCCTTCTGTTCTACTGCTCATGCTGCCATCAGACAGATGTCACACCTGCTGTGCCAGCCTCTGCTGGGTGCTGGACAGTGAATGGTATCCTTGCTTCCCTTGGCTCCCCGTGGAGCTTGATGTCTCCATGGGATTAGACTGACAAGTAACCACGCAGCTACAGTCTCGTGTGATGGGTGCAGGCACAGGGGGTGTGGACGCCCAGAGCTGGGAACTTAATGCACACTAAGGGGTGAGGAGAGGGTGGTTAGGTAGGCGACAGCAATAGGAACACCTGACACTTAGTAGCATTTGCTATGCACCAGACACTGTTGCAAGTACTGAAATCTATACAGTAGTTAGGATTTGGTCCATTTTACAGGCAGGGAAACTGAGGCCCAGGAAACTGGACAGTTTGGTGACTGGCCCAAAGTCTCAAAGTTAGTAAAGGGATGGTTTAGCTGAGGCCAGTGAGGGTCTGAGATTTAAAAGGAATGGCCCCTTACGTGGCTCAGGGGAGCGGGCGGGGCACCAGGAGAAGTGAAGGCACTGGAAGTAGTTCAGTCATGCTGTAGCACGGATGAGAGTAGGGTGGTTGGCAGGCTGGGGCCGGGGAACCTCTGGGTTTTATCCCGAGGGTTTTGAAGGTTTAAAGAAAGGAATTTTAAGGTGATCTCAGTATGAGTTAGATTTCCCCATTGGAGATCCTAACTGCCACCAGGTATATTTCCACTTTCCAGAACCCTAAAGGACTCACCCCAAGCCAGAGGAGCCCTGGGCCCAGGCTCCCTCTCATTTCTTCCTGCTAGGGGCCAGTTCTCTGGGAAAGACAGTTCTGCTGCCCCCTAGTGGGGGTAGTGGGCCCTGGGGGGGGTGCTGGCTCCTTTGGCAATTGCTTCCAGTCAAAATAACTGTTTAGTTCCGTTTTCCTCAGGCCTCCTTGGCCTGTCATCCTAGTTCAGCCTGTGTCTTCTGGCCCTGTGGATCCCCTGATATCCACCTTTGGCCTATAATTTAAGAACCCAGACTCCAGAGCCTAGAGTGGACTCCCAACTCTACCATTTTCCAGCTGTGTGACCTTGGGCAAGTTTCTTAACCTCTTTGTGGCTCAGTTTCCTCATTTGTAAAAAGGAAATCATAACAGCACCCACTTCTTGAGGTCGTGGGGACTAAGTGAGTTAATACATGTAAAAAGTTAGAACTGTGTCTGGTGCATAATAAACACTGCGTATATATTTGCTGCTGATATTCATTCTTCTCCCTAGGGTTCAGGACCTTACACTAGGTCATCTTTTTGGAGGTTTTTTCAAGTCATTTCTATCAAAGAACTTTGTGGGCTGAAACCTGGGGCTAGAAGTGAACAGGGAAGCCAGTGTGGAGGCCTAGACAGAGGATTGCGGGCAGGCAACTCAAGGCAATGGGGAAGGTTTCAGGGAGATGACTTGGTCCTTGAAGACTTGGTGATTGGTAAATGGAGGAGGAGAAAGGGCATCCCAGAAGGACATAGCTAACGCAGAGGCTCGGAGGAGATGAGGCCAGAGAAGTAGGTGGAGCCATAGTGTAAAAGGCATTGGAAGCCAACATAGAAATTTACATAGTCTCAAATCGGAGGAGGGACATGATTGATTTTCTGTTTAGAAGAAACATTGGCTGCTTGGGGTACCAAGCCAGGTAAGGCTGGTAGCCTGCTCTAAGGTTTTGATAGCAGTGGAGAAAAGATGGAGAGAAGGGGACATTTGTGAATCCTATTGGACTGGCGGGAGGTAAGGATGAGGATGTGGGGAGTGGGCATGTCCAGTCATCAAAGGTATATAGCACTAGATTCTAAATGGTATCATGTAGCAGTGAAAAGCATTGGTTCAAATCCTAACTGTACCAGTTACCACCTTTGCCTTGGCTTTCTCATCTGTATAGAGGAGTAATGAGAGTTAAAATCTTTGATTGCCAGCCTGAAAAGTATCATCTGGGTTACTGGATTTGGGGGAGGAGGTTGGAATTGAGGATTACACACAAACATCCCATGAACTGTGCCCACAGCATAGCTCATTAACTTGCTGTGTGGTCTCCCTGAGTCTCAGTTTCTGTGAAATACTGACCTTAAAAGCTCTTTCCAGTGCTAACATTCTGTGACTTTTAGCTGTCACCCAGTCCTATGGCCAGTCATTGTCCAGAAGAGGCCTTAATTGTGCTGCACTCAGGGGCTGGAGTATCCTGTCACTGCCCATCAAAATCCAATCTATCTTTAATGAATAGAAAAGATTTTCTCAGCTCTATGCACATCCAATCCTGCGTCTCTTTGCTTAAACCCTTGAGTGGTTTTCTGTTTCCTCCAGGATAAAGTCTCAGCTCCTAAGCCTGGCATTCAGAGCTCCTCACCATCTGACCTCATGTCCTGGCTTATCTCTAATCACTCCGCTCCTATCCCATGCCCTGGCTTCAAACACACCTGACCCTTTCTCATCTCTAAGACTTTGCCCATGTGGTCTTTCAGCCTGTAAAACCCTCTTCACCTTTTCTACCTGCTTTCTCCAGGAGCAGCTCTTGTCTCTTCTAGGCCAGATTTCCTAACTTTTAACATGCATACAAATCACCTGGTGATCTTGTTAAAATGAAGATTTTGATTCTGCAGGTCTGGGTTGGGACTTGAGATTCTGCATTTCTTTCTTTCTTCTTTTTTTAAAAAATTTTTTTACCACTTATTTACTTTTGAGAGAGAGACACACACACACAGAGTAAGAGCGGGAGAGGGGCAGAGAGAGGGGGACACAGAATCTGAAGCAGGCTCCAGACTCTGAGCTGTCAGCACAGAGCCTGACATGGGGCTTGAACCCAAGAACTATGAGGTCATGATCTGAGCTGAAGTCGGACACCCAACTGACTGAGCCACCCAGGCACCCCATCTTTTTTTATTTTTTAAGGTTTATTTATTTGAGAGACAGAGACAGAGTCAGAGGGTGAGCAGGGGAGGGGCAGAGAGGGAGACACAGATTGAGAAGCCGGCTCCAGGCTCTGAGCTGTCTGCGGAGCCCAGTGCGGGGCTCAGACTCACGATATGGGAGATCATGACCTGAGCCAAATTCGGATGCTTAGCCACCGAGCCACCCAGGCGCCCCGAGATTTTGCATGTCTAACAAGGTCCTACAGATGCTGATGTTGATCTGCGGACCACAGTTCCTGTAGCTAGGAGCAAGAGGGTAGGGTCGTATTTTATACTTTCTACCAAAAAGAGGGGAGATTCTGACTGCTGAAAGAGTCCAGGGGAGGGGGACAAGCTGTGTAGGTGATCTCAGACTTGTCAGTGAGATAGAATTGCATCATGGCAGAGAATGGGTATTTTGGACAATGACAGACTTTCAGTTCAAATCCTGGCTCTGCCTTTGATTAGCTGTAGGGCCTTGGGTAATCACTTTACTGCCAAGTCTTACTTCCTTATTCAGAAATGGAGCAGTTGATACCCAACCCAAAGGGTTGTGAGAGTTTAAAATGAGAATGTGGATGGAAAGCACTTAGCACAATTCCTGGCATATAGGGAATGCTCAATGAATGGTAGTTCCGGTTGCTGTTATTGTTAATTAGGAAAGAAATGTCTGAGGAGAAAGTGGAGATGTTTGCCCTGATTTCAAAAAAAATTCTTACACAGGAAGACAAATCATAAACTTCAGATACCTGGATTTTCATATTATTATATTTATATCCTTATCATACCCTCTTATTATAGTGCAAATACCGTTCTAATGTCTAAGTCTACTAGTTGTCGAATTAAAGGCATGGAAAGGCCTTTAATGATCCCCTAGTCTGGTATTTGCCAAGTTTCAAGTGACCTGTGTATCGCTCACCTGTCGTGCTCATTTATTTACTCTTTTCTTCAGATAGATTCACATCATTTTGTTAAATAAATCTGCCTTCATCTAAGTAATAATATTGATGGAATTGTGGATTTCATGTGATCTATTGTTTTCTAATGTCCATGAAAATAAATACATAATGATTATAATACATAATAATAGAAAATACAAAATAAATACATAGTTTCCCTACATAACACCTAGCGTACTCTTTGCATCTTGGGGCGTGCAAGCCTCAGGTTGGGAAAATATCTCATGTAGCCTGTCTCACCTTCCTTGGGACACTGAGGCAGGGGAAGGGAGTGACTTGCTTGGGGTCTTAATGAGCTAGACCCTGCCCGTCTTAACCAAGATTCTTCCTGGAGGGTTCCTGGCTGGCTCTGTCGGTAGAGCGTGCAACTCTTGATCCCAGGGTCATGAGTTTGAGCCCCACGTTGGAGGCAGAGATTACTTTAAAAAAAAAAAAAATTCTTCCTGGGGCCCTGCGTCCTGAAGCTGGAGATACTAAGGGCACTCACGTGAAGATTTTCTTTCACCTAAGTCAGTGAACCCAGCATAAGAAAGCCCTCAGGCTGGTCAAAGTCATCCTATAGAAGGGTGCCAAAAAAAAACGGGCCAGAAAAATGTAAATATGATGAGAAGAAATTCTTTCCACAATGGCTGATGTGTTTAAATCAACACAACAGATGTCAAAACCAGGGCGAGACTGGAGAGTATGACCTTGAATTCAGACTGTGCCAAATCTGCTGTGGGGAGTTTCTTGATTTAAAGTTATCAAGTTGTATTTTAACCTTGAATCCCTCTTGGAGAGCACCAGAGGCCCGGAGTCCAGCCTCTGTCACATCTTGGCTATTCTAGTGCAGGGAAGCAATATAGCTACTGGTTAAGGGCGAGTGCTCTAGAGTCAGTCCTGACTCCCTCTGGCTTTGTGAATCTTATCTCAATGAGCCTCTGTTTTCTCAGCTATCAAAAGATAAGCTTTGCGCTGTGGCAGTATCGTAGGAGGTTTATCCAAGGCGCAGTTATTGCTAATCCACTATCAAAAGATAACACCCAATTCAAGGGGATGACAGGAAGATGTAATACAATAATGTACATAAAGTAGCACTGTCAAAGCCTTACACTGTATTGTTATCACTGTTATCATTACATGTACTATTTACACCAGAATTCCCGTGGCTGATCACTAATTTCCCAAACTGCCCTGTTTTCCAGTTTCTGAGTTGGTTACAGAAAAGCTACTGACTTTTTATAAAGGATCTTGAAGGACTTGAAGTTGTCATCCTTGCAACTTCAGAGAGAAAAGAGCCTCACTGTTCTCGTCACTCACTCTCTTAAGAGAGTTTCTTTATGTATAAAATGAGAATAGTAATAACTACCTTGTGAAAATTGAATATGGGGAGAAGCTAACGCTTCCTTGTCCTTACTGTGTGCCAGGTATTTCATTTGGTCATGAATTAATGTGCCTGTTTGGGTCACGGTAGGTGCTCAAGACCACTTTTATTGGGATGAGCATTCTCTTTTCTAAGGAGGGAGCACTGTGCCCCCCAAATTCCTCTTCACTCGGCTGTTAGTACAAAGTTTTCTCTTCACCTGCCTCTTACAAAGCATTTCTTCTTATTCTGATTTTATCTCTAGAGGCTCAGACCTCATGAAACTGGCTCATTGTCACAGTTTTCTGCTTCAGGCCTTGCCTTCACACCTTCAAAAATGATCGGTGCTTGCTCTGAAAGGTTTATGAGAGAGCCTGGACTTGGTCTTGGCCTGGCTTCTGAGATGCCACGCTCTCCCGCCTCACTGACTGACTGCCTCACTCACTGCCTGCCTTCTTTGCTCGCTGCTCATCTTGCCCCAGGTTCTCTCTTCCTATTTCTGGGGTGATCACCTCCAAACTCGGCTTTAAAAACCACCTGTAGGCTGACAGCTTCCCAATTAACATCTCCAAGCACAGGCTTCTTTCTTGAGCTCCAGATGTGTCAAGGAGGACCGAAAATACGCTCCAGAACGGATTTCACCTACCACCCTGCTCTTCCTATCGCCCTCATCTCTGTAGATGGCCACTCCGCCTTTGCAGTGGCCCAACTCAAAATCTTTGTGGAGCCGTTTTGACCCCTCTCTTTCATTACACCCTCCCGGCCCAATCGTAGTCAAATCTGTTGTCTCAAACTGCAGAATCTACCCAGAAGCAGACCGCTTCCGCGTTCCACCTGTCACCTGGGTCTGAGCCACTGTCCTCAGAGATGGCTGCGGTATAGTAGCCCCCTCACTGCGCTCCTGCTTCTGCCCTCTCCCCTCCTCCGTTCTGTTCTCAACCCCAGCAACCTGAGTCCTATCTGTTCCAGGTCCCTGCTCCCAGTCACCTGACATCTCTATTGGTTCCCCATCTCATTCGTATTACTTGGCCCTAAACTGAGCGATTCCCAGCGAGACCATCCCATCCATCACTGCCCCACCCCCCACCCCCAAGCATTCTGCCCTAAGCACTTTTTCTTGCCCTTCTGGGAACTCAAGTGGCAGACTCGCTGCAGGGCCTTGCTGTTGCTTGCAGAGCCTCGTCTCTCACCTTCTTTAGGTCTTTCCTCCCGTTTTATCAGTAAGGTTCCTTAACAGTCCTATTTACATTAAGCGTCCGCCTCCCTGCCCCAGCACTTCTTAGCCATTCTTCCTGAAGCGGGAATTTTCCAAAATTAATGTGTAATCCCCAGAGCCTAAACAGAGTCCGGCACATTGTACGCGCTCAATAAATATTTGTCGAATTAATAACGAGGAGCTAGAGCACCGCTAGGCCTTGTGATACGGGCGTTAATACTGCCTCGTTTCAAGCGCACCACCGTCCTGGGGCGGGCGCCGTTGCTTTTTCGGTTTTACAACGGGGAACTGGAAGGCTGCAGCTTGCGGAGACCCGGCGCTCGGGCTCCCGCGCCCGGCAGTCAGGGCTGACGTGTCCCCCCCCACCCCCTCTCCCCGCAGGTCCCGAGCGAGGCGCCAGCGCCGTCGGCCGACCCGGCGCGCCCACACGCGTGCCCGGACTGCGGCCGCGCCTTCGCGCGCCGCTCCACGCTGGCCAAGCACGCACGCACGCACACGGGCGAGCGGCCCTTCGCGTGCACCGAGTGCGGCCGGCGCTTCTCACAGAAGTCGGCACTGACCAAACACGGCCGCACGCACACGGGCGAGCGGCCCTACGAGTGCCCCGAGTGCGACAAGCGCTTCTCGGCCGCCTCGAACCTGCGGCAGCATCGGCGGCGCCACACAGGCGAGAAGCCGTACGCATGCGCGCACTGCGGCCGCCGCTTCGCGCAGAGCTCCAACTACGCACAGCACCTGCGCGTGCACACGGGCGAGAAGCCGTACGCGTGCCCGGACTGTGGACGCGCCTTCGGCGGCAGCTCGTGCCTGGCGCGCCACCGACGCACGCACACGGGCGAGAGGCCGTACGCATGCGCCGACTGCGGCACGCGCTTCGCCCAGAGTTCGGCTCTGGCCAAGCACCGGCGCGTGCACACCGGCGAGAAGCCGCACCGCTGCGCCGTGTGCGGCCGCCGCTTCGGCCACCGCTCCAACCTGGCGGAGCATGCGCGCACGCACACGGGGGAGCGGCCCTACCCGTGCGCGGAGTGCGGCCGGCGCTTCCGCCTCAGCTCGCACTTCATCCGCCACCGTCGCGCGCACATGCGGCGTCGTCTCTATATATGCGCTGGTTGCGGCCGGGACTTCAAGCTCCCCCCTGGCGCCACGGCCGCCACTGCCACCGAGCGCTGCCCAGAGTGCGAGGGCAGCTGAGGGCAGCCGTTCTCGTCGCTGTGGTGCTGCTAGCGTCCGGCTGGGGGCAGGGGCACGCCGGGACCCCAACCTGGGGGCTGGATTGACCTGGACCTCCCCGCCCCACTGGGAAAGGGGCGGGACAGCAGGCCTACCTGCGTTGGAACTGGGAGGCCAGGAGAATCCCCTGCTGCGATCCCAGGAAGCAGTGCCCACTTCCCCTCACTACAACCCCTTGGCCCGTGTTAGTGAATAAAGTATTAAATCCTCGTCCCACCCGTGCCTGTGAGTGAGGTGGGGGAGGGGAGGAGGAAAGTTGGGGTTTTTCCCAGGTTTAAGTGACCTGAATTGAGTTATCATGGAGCCAAGTGGTTATAAGCCCCAAAGGATTTCTTGAGCGGCTTTATTGTAGGGAGTCCTCCCACACTTGGCCCCCGATTGTCCTCATAACTTCAGGTCTGGAAGGGTCCACGAATCCTGCACATCCTAGACAGCCATCATGTTGGTTGGTGGGCAAGCACGAACTTCAGTCCAGGGGAGATGGGCTGATTTCATCTCTTAGCTGGGATGATCGGGGCAGAGTCAGAGACGGCACACGATGAGGGGCGGAGTGGAGGCAATGGTTACGCCCCTGACGTAAACGCAGAGGGGTCGGAGAGGTGACTGGAAATAGTAGTTTGGGGATATCAGATCTGGAGTGGAGGATACCATGTCCAGAAGAGGGTACCCAAGAAGAGTCTGAAAGGGCAGCCACAGCTAGGAAGAAAACCAGAAGTATCTTGTCTGGGAAATCCAGAGGAAAGTGTTTCACGGAGGGAGTGGTCAGCTCTCTCAGATGATGTATTTGTAGCTCTGGAAAGTGGTGAGAAGAGGCGTGGGGGGTGAATGCCATCCTTAAGTGGGTTAGAGTATAAATAGGAGAATGAGGAAGCCCAGCGGAAGGGTGTAGACAACCGATTTTAAAGGCTTGGCCGTGAAAAGCAAGAGGGAAGTGGCTGGAGGTTAATAGGAAAGAAACTCAATTATGCTTTTTATCTGCTGGTGGAAGAGCTGATGGAGAGAAATTGACTAGATAGAGGAGATAGGAGAGAACTCATCATGGAGAGGAAATGCAGGAAGAGATCAGTAAGGATGGGACTCCTGCTGGCACTGGTAGGGAGAGGAAAGGTGGGTTTGGAAACACAAAACTTTCACTTTTTCCAGTTTCACTCTGGATTGTTTTACCTGGGAAGTAAGAGGTCACTGGTTAAAGGAATGAGGTCATTAGTAAAAGGAATGCCTTATGTTGCTGATGTGGAAACAGGCTCCTAGGGGCAGCAAAAGTAGTTTCAAGGTTTTTTTTTTCCCCCCCAGCGTTACTCTGCACTGTGAGGGAGGGAGGCTGTGGGTATCCAGAAAGGGAAGTGATATGCCTGAGGTCACACAATGAGTAAATCGTACACACCCACCAGTGTCTTTAGGTATACCAGTGGAAATTGGCCTTGGGAGGATGGGAGGAGGCAAGAAGCCCTCTCCAAGAGGGGGACCCCTGTCGTGGGGGGCCCATGAAGAGGGGCATTCGACTCTCACAGGGCTGGGGTCCTGATGGATGGGGGTGGGTTTCAAGCCCAGGCTCATCTTAACTGTTGACATTTCCTGCTCTGGGCCCCTGAACATTTTGAGTTGAAAAAGCAAACAGGTAACTGCAGACTTACAAAGTCCCTACGAGGTGCCAGGCACTGTCCTAAGCACTCTACTTAATATAGCTTGCTTAAACCTTACAGCCCTATGAGGTAGATATCAGTATTTCCATTTTAGATGAGGAAACCAAGGTGCAGAAAGATGAAGTACTTTGCTGAATGTCACCCAGCTCTTAAGTATCAAAGATGGCGTCTGAACCCAGACAGCCTCGCTCCAGAATCTGGGCTCTTCACCAACTCTACATACAGCCTCCAGTCCCCTTTAGACGCCCAGAAAGGGTCAGGGAATTGCATGACATCAGCGATCTTGCTCGAAAACAGATCTCTCTGCTCTGTAGGTGGGAGACACACTAGAGAAACATGGGAGCTAGGCTCAGAGGCATCCCTGGGGCCCTTCTCCAGTCCTTGCTGAGATAGGGCTTCCCCAGTCACTCCAGAAAGAACCTAGAAGTTGCTAACCAAAACTTTTATTGAGAGAGAAAATATCAGGAGGCTGTCTTCTGGAGGTTCTTGGGCCTCAGGCCTTAGGAAGTAGGGCCCCTCTGCCCATGATCTATTAGGAAAGGACTAGAAAAAGTTCCATCACCAGGCCACTCTCTGCTTCTCAGATGCCATGCTGAATTCCAGGTCCTGTGCACCTGGTTCTAGGTTGAGGCCTGGCTTGTGGACTCACAGGCAAGGTCTGCAGGCCCCTCAGCTTGGTCTTCAGAGGTGGCACCATGGGGTAAGTCTGTATACTTGAGGGCAGAGCCACGGGACAGATGGGCTGGGTAGCGCCGCCGGTTGATGTCCATCTTGGAGAGCACCGCTTGGGGCAGATCCACATGGCAGCGGGCTGCTAATGCTACCAGGTAGATGAGGACATCACTAAGCTCCTCTTGAAGGGCTGCCCGCTCCCTCGGGGGCCAGGCTTGGGGGCCAGGCTCCTCATCAGGCTTCCACTGACTGGGGGCAGAAGAGACAGGCACAAATACAGATGCTAAGACAACAGGCTCTGCCTCTCTCAGGAGCACCCTAGTCCTTGCAGCAGATGAACTCCCATCTCTTAGGAAGTTCCTTCAAGGACAATTCAATCCACCTGGGCCCCAGGCAGAGTCAGGGTGGGGAAGAGATCCGACAGATGACTCATCCAGACCTGTGTGTCCCAACCTAGTCGAGAGAACGTTTCACTTGCTAAGACCCAATTCTACTTCGCTCTCTGGCCCTAGCCCCCCCCCCCCCCCCCCCCAGACTAATCCTCAGACCCGTGAAAGCTTGCAAACTCATCTTCTACTCTTGCCCAGTACCAGCTTTTAAAAGGCAGAAAGTACACTTTGTCCTTCCCCTGCTAAAATCCCCCCAACTGTGCTTAAGATCCAAACTCCTGATCATGCCCTTTAGGTCCTGCAGGAGTGGTCTCCTGCCTCTTCCAGAATCATTATCCACCACTTTCCCTCCCACCCCCCACCTAAAGCCACTCTGGCTTGTTCTGTCCAACAAACAGGCCAAACTGTCACAGGGCCTTTGCACGTGACTGCTCCCTCTGCTTTAAATGCTCTTCTCCCAGGGCGCCTGGGTGGCTCAGTCAGTTGAGCATCTGACTTCGGCTCAGGTCGTGATCTCGCGGTTCATGGGTTCAAGCCCCAAGTTGGGCTCTGTGCTGACAGCTAGCTCAGAGCCTGAAGCCTGTCTTCATATTCTGTGTCTCCCTCTTGACCCTCCCCTGCTCATGCTGTCTCTCTCTCTCTCAAAAATAAATGAAACATTACAAAATTTTTTTAATTAAAAAACTTAAAAATTAAAAAAAAATAAACGCTCTTCTCCCTGCTCCCCCTCCCCCCATCTTTCCTGTGGCTGGCTCCTTCCTAGCTCCTTCCTGACGTCTCAGCACAGATGTCACCTCCTCAGAAAAGCCTTCTCCTTCTGTAACTTCCTTTCTCATCACTTCGTATTGTTTTCCTCACAGAACTTTATCAAAATGATCTTTTGAAATTAGTTTATTTATTGTTAGTCTCCTTGCACTCTGAAGGCAGGAGCCATGTCTATTATTATTTTTTTTTTTTATCCCCAAGATTTTAAGTCATCTCTATACCCAACATGGGCTCGAACTCACAACCCTGAGATCGAGTCGCATGCTCCACTGACTGAGGCAGCCAGGCACCCTAGGCACCATGTCTAGAAGACCTAGCACATAGCTGATGCTCACAAGACTGTAATGAATGAATGGCTTGCCCTTCATCTATGTGCTCTCATTTCTCCATTTCCAACGTTTAGGCCTCAGTTTTAGGCCTTATGACCTCTTGACTGGTGTGTATCAGCCTCCTCTCAGGTCTCCCCTGCCCCAATTCTCTTAGTGACCCAATCCACCCTACAGACACAGTGACCTTTCTACCACTCAGATCTGTCAGGTCTTCTGTTCAAACTCCACTTCTAGCTCCAGCTTTGTCACTCTGGGTTCATATGCCACCTCTGTCTTCCACAGCCCACCACTCATTCTGTAAATATTTACTGAGTGCCTGTCGTGTGCTAGGCACTCGGGATATATGAGACAACAAAATAGATACAAAATCCTGAAAAGCTTTCTTGAAAAGCTTACCCTGGAGGAGTCTCGGAATCTCCCTGAATGGGGTGCCTGGGTGGCTGTCAGTTGAGCGTCTGACTCTGGCTTAGGTCATGCTCCCAGGGCTGTGGGATCAATCTCTGTGTCCAACTCTGCACTGAGCATGGAGCCTGCTTAAGATTCTTTCTCTCTCTCTCTCCCCGACCCCTCTCCCCGGCTTGCACTCTCTTAATTTAAAAAAAAACAAACCTCCCTGAATTTAACCTGCCCTTTCCTACTCACTACCTTGGGAAAGGATTCTCAGGTCTGGAATGCCACAGGCAGGTCTCCTAAAGCATACCCTCCCGTCCACCCCAGAGGCAGAGGTCAAGGTAGGCTGTCACCATCCCTTAAGACATGGAGCTGCCTTGCTGTTTTCACATCTTTCTTTCCCAGAAGAATAGATGCCCTGAGAGACCAGGGACAGGTGAGTCATCTCTGTATCCCCAGACACAGAGCCTGGCATGGATATTTAATGATCAGATAAATGTTCCCCTCCCCCACAACACAGACTCTTCCAAAAAGTCTTCCATCTACTCACAAGAGCTCTGCCAGCTCCCCCACTTCCCCCACCAAGGCTAGTAGGAGGTTCCGGGGCTGGTGGAACTGGCCCCAGTCTCGTTCAGCAGCAAATTCAGCATGGAGGCGGCGGCTGGAATAGAAGAAAGGGGTAGAAGCCCAGGTCCCAGGGTTAGAAGATGAGGAAGACACAGAGCCCAGGCGGGTATCCCAGTGATACGCAATGGGGGCATTAGTTCTGCATCTAATTCCTTGGATGGACTTAAGCAAACCATTTCTTTTCTGTGGGACTTGGGCTCCTTACCTCTCAAGTGGGTGCGCCCTACACAGACCCTGAACTCTATCAAAACCTAACAATACCATCTTTTCCGTTATTCCACCTCCTGATGCCACTTATGCAGTTTCCTCTGCCGGGAATATTCCTTTCCCTGCATATTGAAAGACTACTTATTTTACAAAGTGCAGCTCCAGGGACACTTCCCCTAAGAAGCCCTCC